TATTTTGTTATATTTTAATATATTTGCACAATTATTCCAGATCGTTTCAAGGTATTTCAAGATATTTTAGTATATTTCAACCAATATTTTGAAAAAATAATTCTTAATTTTTTTTATTCTGTTTTTGAAATAGGTTAAAATATTTTCGAAACACGTTGAAACGTTTTCATAGGACTGTCAAAATTCGACACGACACGATTAACCGACATGAATCGATACGAATTAAACGGGTTTAAGTGAGATCTTAACGGGTTTGGGTGATAAATGGGTTGATACGCCAAACACGTTTAATAAACGGGTCGTGTTCGGGTGAGACCTGTCAAATCGTTTATCACACGTTTACCCGTTGAAATAAAACTAATATAATAATAAATTAATAATTATTTAAAAAAATTAGCAAGAAAAAAAGAAGTAAAGAAATCAATAAAAAAAAAAAAGTAAAGTAGTAGTTCAAAGACAAAGGAGAAGAGTTGTAGAATACTCTAAAGGCAAAGGCAAACAAATGTCTTTTGTTTTTGTCCCACATTGAAAAATGAGGGGAGATGGGAAGGGTTGAGCTGTCTATAAAAGACAATGACTTCTTGCTTTTATTTTTAAAGCCTTCAAGGCTTATTTTTCAAAGACAAAGGAGAGGAGTTGTAGAACACTTCAAAGACAAAGGTAAACCAATATCTTTTGTTTTTGTCCCACATTGAAAAATGAGGGGAGATGGGGAGGGTGAATTGCCTATAAAAGACAATATCCTCTTGCTTTTTTATTTAAACCTTTCAAGTCTTATTTTAATGAGATTTGATTTAAACTTCCTCTTTTTTGAGGTAAGTGCAATTAGTAGTAAGAAAAAATAGAATATTAAAATTTGTTGATATAATTTTTTTAAAATTAAACGGGTTAAACGAGTCGTGTCGTGTTACCCGTTTATTAAACGGGTCGTGTTGAGATTTTTTACCCGTTTATTAAACGTGTAGTGTATGGGTTTATATATTTTTCACCCCGTCACGCGTTTGGCCCAACACGTAACCGTTTAACCCGACACGATTGGCACCCCTACGTTTCTGTTTCCTAGGTGACCGAAATAATGTACCGAAACGAAATTTTGATCATTGGTGGTACATAACCAATAACCCAATTGGTGATAGAAAATGTATAAGAATTCATATAATAAGGGTTCCTAGTAAATGAAAAGGCAAGTCACCTGAATAAAATATTTGTGCAATATGGGAGTGCAATTATTCTCGAGCACCTAAGTTAAATGTTTTTCTTGGCTCAAAATCTTTTGTTTAGGTGTTTAAGTTTCTAATATCCCCACATCCCTAGTTGCTAGGGTAAAGGAACTTTCTTGGTCATAGACATTTTAATCATGTTCTTGGCTTCTTCAACTATCCTTTGCATCTCAACAAGTTGTTAGGGAATCACTTTAGGGCACACTCTAATCGTATGACCAGAAATTTTCAATAAATGTCTTAACCAGAAAATATGATTCACTGTGCTTGTTTTGACAGAAATTGCATTGGAATCTGGTATTTCCACCTCCTTCACCCATTTTTTTTACTTTAGTAGCATAACCCCAAAGAAGAGCATTGTCATCTTGATTAGTGGGAGTGCCACCTCCACTTCCACTAGTTGAGTCCATACTTTTTGCACCCGAACTCATACTTCTATAACTATAATTTTAATAAAAGCAAAGTTATTTCAAGATAACACCAACATGCAATACAAACATGTAATAATTAAATACCCAACACCAAGTATACCAAGTCATACACCAAGTTATAGCTTTGAACACTAAACACCATCAGATAACAATTCAAGAATCAAGACAAATAAAATAAAAGAGTATCTCAGATTGCTTGATATGTGACACTGTTGAAATGGAGATTCTCAAAGAAACACCTAGGTCCAACACAAAGCGCCACTCTAAAATTTTTCACTAAAACATTCAAAAATCTGTTTTCTATAGTTATTAATTTTTTATGATAACAAAAAATAAACAGAATGGGAATTATGTAAAGTAATAGAGGCGGTTGCTTTACAAACAGAATGGTAACTAGAATGGTTGTTTATATGCTAACCAAAATGGTTGTTTACCATTCTCTTTATATGATAACAAAAAAGAAAAGAAACAAAATGGTTGTTTTACAAACCCTAATTGCAAAATTGGAATTATGTAATCCCTAATCCTGGGTACAAAGGCAAAGAATGAAAGAAATATGTAGTAGAGAAACAAGAGACATAGAAGAAAGAGGAGAGAACATTAGTGCCCTAAGCGGAAGCAGCTTTCTTAGTTGAGATAATAACCGGAAGCAATTGACAATCATTGGAAAAAGCCGAAGATCCCTTTAGTCTTCACAGCTGATGTAGCAAGAAGGATGAGTAACACTCCTTCGCCTCCACAGTTGATGCTTGAGCGAGAGGGAGGAGGGATGCTTGACCTGTTGAATGAAAGGGAGGAGAGATGCCGGAGGGAGATTGTGAACTAAGAGAGAGAGTGCCATGAACAGTTTTGGTTTGAAAGAGATATCGCGATCCAAGAGAGGGAGATCGCGAACTGGTCTGTGTAAGTTTTTTTTTTAGCAAATAATCCCTAAACATATTTGCACCAATGCCCTTGATTTTTTTTTAAAACCCCTTCTATCCAAAAACGTAGCCCATCTGTATCCCAGCATATAGGGACATATGGGGAAGTATCAGTGATATATCCGAAATTCAACATTTATTTTTTTAATTAAAGCGTATCTGATATGTATCAGGGCGTATCGTATGCATATCTGTATCCGATACGTATCGGAATTTGATACTTCTCCCCTTTTGAAGTGTTAGAGTTTTTATTTTCTATATTAGACATAAGTTAATTAGTATAGGGTAATATTGTAATCATTGGAATATTACTCAATTATAAATAAGAGAGTGTAGGACAAACTAAGTCTCTTCCTCCTTCCGAACCCTAATATTATATTTACTATTTCAACTTGAAGTATGTGTGCTTCGTAACGATCTATTTCTTGCAAAAATTGAAAGAAAGCAAAGTTGGATCTATTGATATTAATAATTCTGTGCCATTTTAAATTAAAGTGTTAATTTATGTATATAATATTCCACCCAAAAGCATATAGTTGAGCTAGTAACACTTAAACAACAAACAGGTTTGTAGGTTGTGATTGTATAATCTATCTATTTCGATTTATACCGGCCTCAATATGCAGGAAACATATACAACTCAACTCAATATGAAATTGAAATTAGTCCACTTGAAAAACTTAGGCAAGTACAAGATGGAGATGCTGTGGAGTAAAAAGGACAAAATTACTTGGTTGAGTTCTAATAGAATGTGTCAGTTGAAGAAGTGTTGTCTAAGAGGTTGGAATGTGTATACTGGGACTTTCAGGCCACTTAGTTGGGGTGATTGAAGTTTTAACATAATGTTTGGAACATTTTGGCTTTTGTGATTACAATTAGGCCTGTCAATGCATGGTTCAAGGTGGTGGTATCAGTCATCGATTCAGAGAACTTCGAGACACATCAGTCGTGGCGCGGTATCTTGCAATACGACTTAAAAGAAAATGTTGAACTTGACGAGAGATTTAGGTCATATCGTTGCATCGCAGAACCGTATCAGCCGATTCAATGATGACAACTCAGCAACTCAAGATTGACTCGAACACAACTCGGACAATTCGGCCAAGTCGTGCGAGACATAGAGTTTATATGTATCTATAACGGTATCGTCTCGAAAGGTACCGAGTGAGATACGATTTGGCCTACTCGTATCGGTATCGGCCAATACTTAGAACCATATGTCAACGATCAGATTTAGTCGGGTTGCAATCCATCCTAATGCAAATCCGATAAGAAAATCCTCCGAGCTGTATATCGGATGGATCTTATTTTATGGAACATCTTCGAATTCATTACTAATCAGATGTGGATCCACAAATTCAAAAAATTCAACTGGAACAATGGATCTATTTGCTCCATTTTCATATCTAATTACAAATCAACCAACAATTTCAGATTGTCTTAACGTAGAATTTCATGAAATAATCCGTCCATAACATTTAAGCCAAACAATATAAAAACAATGAATTTGATCTGATGTGAAGGATATTTGAGGACCATGGAGGAAGGGTCGTCGTTGAGCTTGCTTTGTTCGACAGGTGAGATTGGGGGAAGGTTGTTTTAGGTGAGGGGTTCCAGGGATGATGGAGTTGGTGAAAGGGGCAACGGAGGTGAGGCATGGGAGAGAGAGGGAGAGAGAGAATTATATGCATTCAGGACTCGAGAGGCATTATGTGCAAGAGAAGATTTTGGAGAGTGTAATGGGAGAAAGGAGGAGGAGAAAAAAAAAAGAATAAAGAAAGAAAGTGGGAGAGAGAGGGAAAGAAAGTCTGATACTGCATCTTTCACGACTTCACTTTTGTTATTTTCATGTCTATTTGTACATCAAATAGATATTGTTATTTTAATATTTTAGATCAAATCAATACATAGATATATGCAAATCTGTTTGAAGTGGTCTGAATGGATTCGGATTAGCGGATAAAAATCGTAACCCATATCCGATTGAATAGTTTCGGATTCAAATCAATTATGAACAAGGATTTCAATGTTTCCCCAAATAATAAGTGTTGAAATATAGAAGTATATGCATTTTGCTTAATTTTTCTATGGCTTACCTAATTGAAACTTTTAGACCTCATCTCTTCAGAAATTTGGCAACATTGTTTGTCTAATGGATATTTTCTGGTTTTTCATATCCTACATAACCAAATGTCAAGCATTCTTTGATAATATGCCTCATCTTCAGAAACGGTTCTTGGAGAAGCAGCATGAGATGTTCTTGATTTCTTGTCAAAGGGCTCTTCTATGTTTTGTGCCTTGCAAGTCATTCTGTATTTGAAACCATGCGTTTTCCTGTAGGTCCCATGGATGCAAGTGAGCAGATCGAATTCGCTTCTATTAATGGTTAAACCTGCTGTTTTTCTTGTGGCTGTTGGAATGGGAGTGTGAGTTCATTGCAGTGAATTTCTTCCAGTGACAGCTTATATGGCTTCACTGGAGTACCATCAACTAACAGGATTTGTCCTTGTATATCACAGACTCCTGCACCTCAGCCTATTAACTTTTAATGCTCTTGGAATACTGAGCCTCTCAGCTATATCTGGTGGCAGTGAATCTATGTTTTCAAAGAAGCAGAATGCCACTGCCCTTCTACTTGTTGCAAGCCAGGTGAAATTTCTGCTTTTTGCTTTACCTTCCATACACTTGATAATATAATGTATCCCGGCAACCATTTCTTTGGTGTGAGTTTCCTCTTAATCAGTTTGATGAGGGACCATATAGTTGACACTAATCATTGATTTGTGATCTTTGTTGTATTTTGTTGATGGCAGAGAACTCTAATTGGTTTATTTTTTTAGCAATTGTTTTGGCTTTATATGTGCATGCTTTTGTAGAAAACCTTGCCTGTGATGGTAGCAGTTGTGGAGCAGCTCGGTGGTGCACTCGGTGAATCTGGTTTGCTTGTTCTTCCCTGTGTTGCTGCACATCTGAATCAGGTTAATTACTTCCTAACTCGTTTTCCTTGTTTCTAGCTTATTTTGTAGCTAAAATTTAACTTCCTTTATGTAGATCATTATGGACTCTTTTCTTGTAAGTTTCTGGTTTCAAAAAGAGCATTCATTGAAGATTGCCAAGGGAGCCTAAATTGGAAGAGAGCATAATTGCTGATGAAAACGGGTACTCTTTGTGGATCCATTTTTCGAAGATGGTGCTGATGCCGATGCTAATGGCAAATGATCTGATGCATTGCACCTTCGTTATTTGTGACCAAAAACTCGTTTGTGTTTCGGCATTGTTGCCGCCATTTGGTTTACACATGGAACCCTAACCTTCTTGTATTCTGGTGTCTAAAATCATTGAATTCATCAATCAAATAGCTAAAATGCTTGGATCCTATCATCTTTCCGTTCTGGGAATTTTTGGTTGTACATTATTCAGAGCCCACATTGCGAGCCAAGTTTTGGGAAAGTTGCTTACATGGACAATTGAAAATGCTGACAAAAGTTTATACTTGATTTTTTTTGGGGTTCAGACTAGATTTTTTAGTAGAATTAGTTTTGCGTTAGTTTTTTTTTTGTTTTAAAAAAAAAATAATAAATTTTAGGATATTTTTAATTTCATGGTGGAATTAATATGTCAAATTTACTTAAGTTAAAAATCTTTTGTTTGTGTATGGCATTAATTTTTTTTTTTTTACTATTACTGCACTCTCTAAATTATGGATCTTCCTTGAAGTGAGGTCTTAAATTTTTTTTGATTGGGCTTATATTTTTATAAGGTCTTTTTGTAGGGTTGATATCTAAAAATCTGAGGCTTTCTTTAAAAATAGAGTCTAAAACCCAAACTTTTTTAACAACACTGTTGAGTTGTCCCTGAGAGTTGAGTATTGTTTTGATAATGTTTATCGAAAGTAGTTTTTCTCTCTTTTTTTTTGGTTTTTTTAAGGACTTTTATTAAGTAATTTTTGTTTTCTCATTTTGTTTTGTTGTTTTTCTTCCTTTTGCGGTACTCTCACTGTTTCTAACCATAATTTACAAATTTGGCTCTTGAACAAGTTTTTGCCACCGTCCAAGTTGTGCCCATAGACTGTCTTTTGGGTTGGGTTGTTGTTGATGTCTTTGTAGGTAGTCCTGGTAGGATATACTTAGTTTATCTAGACCGTTGGCAATTTTAGAGTCATCACAATGCGTCCAGCCTTGAACGAAGATAATCAGAGACTCTTTGTGATGTCAAGTTCGATTTTGGCCTATTCTACCTACCAACAACCTTCTTGCACGGTTGGAAAACACACTTGTTTTTATTTTTTTTTGATGAAATTTTTTGTTGCTTAAAAAATCACATTGTTAATTAATAGTGGGTCAATGGACTCGGATCAAGATCCGTTTACATGGACAAAAGGATTCCAACCTAGGTGGTTGGTGGACGTTATAAGGATAAATCACTCTCCTAAATGGAGGTGATCATGATACCCCATGATTGGTTGGTTACAAGGAGGTTTACCTTGGTGGTTACGTGGTTACCTCCACCCATATACATATATAAAAATTCTCTACAGAATTTTTCAAAGTGAATACAAGTCTTTCAAAGCAAATACTCTCCCTCTCCACATAGTCTCTATCTCTCTTTGCATTCTCCTTTAATTAACACCATACACCCTTGGATTTGTGAGCGTGGTAATTCAAGAAGGGACTCTAGTAGCCACTTCTTCAACGGAGTACGAGATTCAAGTGTGTAAGGAAGTTTGGGGAAGTTCGGGTTTGACATCGTTGGCCTCGTAACGATAAGTAACAATTCGATTAATTTTTGGGTTCTTCAAATAGTATAACACAAATCAATTATGTGTTATGTGTGATTATATGTCAACGCACATAAAAAGCGGTGTTAAATGGTATGTTGGTTTTTTGATCATAATAGATATATATTATTCTTTTATTAAAGGCATGAAAATTTTGAATTGAAATTGGACTTTTATTTTTGCTGGCGATTGGAATTCATATCAGGTACTAAAACGTAATTTTTTGGTATCTTATCTTTGTTTTTTTCTAATTAAAATGTGACACTATCAAAGATTATTTACATTATTATTTTTAGGATTAATGGTCACAAATAAAGTATAAAGCCAAAAAAAAAAAACCCTTTTTAGGTATCATAGTTTTATTTTGTATAAAATATCCGTGGAACCAAGCTACAAATGAAACAATAGAAGAATTGGACACATTTCTCGTCTATAATATAAAATATGACAAATTTTAATAAGTATATCTGATGATTTCAAATAGACTCATTCAATAGCTATCAACATTTCTCTCAAAATCATTTAGATTGCATCGTACCTTTAGACACGAGTTATCCTTAGTTTACTATAGATAACGAAAATGCAATAATATTTTAGATTTCATACGACAAAGGAGTGTATACTTAAAATAAAAGATGAATATATGATATGAAAAAAAAGAAAGCCAATGCAATGCCATAGGTTTTTACTGCTATAAAGTGTTGGTAATAAGTTTTTTTGAATTGAGTTGAATAAAATTTTTAAAAATTAAAATATAAAGAGTTCGAGGAATGTTAAAGGATAGGAGGTAAAAGTGAGGTTGGCAATGCAAAATAAAAACAGTGTTGCTGCAAGAAGATGAGAAATTTGATTAATTGACTGCTTTTTATGACCAGTTTGATCCTCGCTCCACCAACCTCCATAAACGCATAAGCAATGTTCTGTCAACTCAGCTGTCAGCATCTAAGCACAAGGCCACCATAGGGGATCTTATCAACCACATTAATCTTATCAAATTCTTTGTTAAATGTTGCTTATTAAGTTAAGGAAAATTTTACGGTACATAATTTATTTATTTATTTATTTTTGTATCGTACTGTCATTATAAATTTTGTGATTTTTTTTTTTAATGAAATTTGATGATCATTTTTAACTTTTGATTGTCATTTACAAGTGTTAGGGATTATTTACATATTTAATAATTAAAGTTACAATTTTTATGGATCATTTATAATTTTTTAGGGTTATTTATGATCAATCCCAAAATTTTTTGTGATCAATCGCAAATAACCTAAAAAGTAGTAATCGATATGCAAAAGTTGTAATTTGAATCATTAAAGTTGTAATATGATACAAAAAAAGATAATTTTTTTTTTTGGGTAAAAAAACAAAAAACTTGTATTTCAACTTATAAAACTTGAAAAAGTTGGCGGTACAGTACCACTTTTTTTTTTTTTTTCCCTTTTCGTGTGCCATATTCTTCTCTATTAAGTTAATGTGAATCATTGAATCAATAAATCTTACTAATTTTTTTTTTTTGTATGACCTTTTGATCCAATCACCTATGTTTATTTGATAAATAAAATTCGATTAAAGTTTTACGGTAATATGACCTGACTAACAGTCAAAAAAATTTAATAAATAACTCTTTTTATTGTTTTCTGTAATCAGGTAAAATTGGTTGAGGAACATTTTTTTTGGGGCAAATAGTTTAGCTATACACTCCTACAGTCAAGTACCATCAACCCTTCCAATATAATTGGAATTCAATTTGCCATGCCCTTTTTCTAGAATTTTTTGGAGTTTCATAAAGCATTGTTATTAGATTAAGCATGGTTCTATATTAGTTGATCATCTTTAATTCTTTCAAGATTTTTTCAACCTGAATGGTAGAAGTTACGATATTCGGAATATTTTTTGAAAGTTCTTGTTTCTTTTTATTTTTCTTTATTTAAAATTCATAATTTTTGCTTGTCGGGCATAGTCTCTTTTTAGTTCATAGTAACATAAATAATAATAGATAATACACATATATAAAAGAAATAATTCATGTATTAAATATTAGTAAAATATATTTCTATTTTTAATAAAATTGTTTTTTTGTTTGAAATAATTATTAAACATGTTTCTATTTTTAATAAAATTATTTTTTTATTCAGAAAAAGTTGATTAAAACATTGTTACCAAACGTTCATTGCCAAAAAGAAAAATTGATTTCTCAAGTCCTTCTTTGGGAGTTCAATACAACCCTTTAAAACAATTATCTAGAGACTACTACTAAATGAGCCAATTCGTGTGAAGATCTAAATTTCCTTCAACAGTAACATTTAGAAGGAGTTTTTTTCCTCTCAAAGTTATTTTGATTCTTAATTAGTGTTTTCAACTTATCAAGGGGCGAATTTCATTAGGAGGAGCATTTACATCAAGATACAGGACATATGCACATTGTACTCTTTTTTTCTTCGTCTAGGTTTTGTCCCATTAGATTTTTCTAACAAGGTTTAATGAGGCAGTATTAGTGCGTTCAACGCTATTCTAAGATTCATTTGAATATGTACTATTTTTCTTTTATTGGATTTTTTCTCACAGGATATTTTTAGTAAGGTTTTAACGATGCATATTATCTTAGCATCATGGTCATTGAAGAAGGAGTGTCGTAAATATATATATATATATATATATATATAGTGGATGATCCTTAACTTTCTAATTAGTATTCCAAGTAAATAGGAATTAGTGAGTGTTAATGCATTAGCCTTTAACCCCTACCCATGGATATACCACATTTATTATTGTATTTGATGGTCATTATGTTTGGACGCCTATAAAAAGAGGTCTTGGGTACATTGAGAAATACAAAGTTGAGAAGACCAATTCTTTAGCATTTTTATATTTTTTTTGTTCATATCTATCTCTATATTCTTAGTTTTATAACCTGTACATGTTTAACCCACATTTTTTAATGTAAATGTATTTTTACAACACTTTTCAATATATTTTATGTAAAATGTATTTTATTAACCCATTTTAGAATAGTGTCGATTTAATTAATATTTTTATGGAAATTACGGTATTTCAAGAATTATATTTGAAACTACTATTAAAAAGAGATAAAAAGAGCAAAAATCCTGACAATTTGTAAACTAATTTCATCTAAAAGTAGGTGGGATTTGTTCCGAGGTGGTAGTCTAGTTGGTTTCAACAGACTGTGAAATTCCTGCTCTTCTCAAGTGGTCATGAGTTTGAACCCACTTGAGGTAGTAGTCCTTGTGAATCAAATAATGTTGAAGGGGTTAAATGCCCAGCTTGCTCTCGTTGGTATTGTGGTGACGGACTCGATCATTTCAGATCAATAACTATGGCTCAAACCGAACATTGCGTTAGATGATATTTTTTCAATATGAAAAAATTATTTATTGAGCTTTTGAAATGATATTAGACTTGGAAATATTCTAAACAGAAGCATAGAAATTTTTTTATGCAACTAGGAGCAAAATAATAATATGCAAGAAAAAACTAGTAACATGTAAATCTACAATATATAAACTAACCCGTTTACAAATCAGGAATGAAGATTGAACTTTATATATCAAGCCTAGTGTTTGACACTATGTCGACAGATTTCGCCACCACACTTGATGCTTATGAATATCTCAACGTTTACCTCTCATGATATAATGATCTTCATGAAATTGAAAGTAGCACTCTAATTCAATTGCCCAACGAACAAGAATGGTGGTGTACTTTCAAAAAATGTA